TGATATTACCCTGTGAAATAATTTCACTTCCTAAGCATCCCCCATGCTCTACTCATTCAATCTCTCTCGGTAGCTTTTCACTTTTCACAAATGTAGCATTTAAATACAAAAAAAAATTACATTTAAAATGTAAAATATTATTGTTTAAACAGTTTTTACCTTTAAAAGTTTACATTTATTTTTCTGGTACATACGATATAGTTGAGTCTTAGTTTATATCTACTCGGCAATCTATGTCTTATAGTCGGTTCATTCTGTTTGGTCACACCCCATATAGTTATAAATATGTTTGGTTTAAGTATCAACTTGATGTTTATTTTCTCTTTGTGCCATAGGTTACTCTTCTTACCTTTCCTTCATCCCTTTTCTTCTTTCTTTGTCTAATTGTGTATTTACTATGGTTTTTGATTAATTTTCTCTCTTTTGTTGGATTATCAGCTATAATTATTTGCTGTAATGTTTTAGTAATTGAGTCTATACTTTATAACTTTAATACATCAGTGTCTATCTAAAACTAATGTAATAGAACTTCAGATATAGCATAAGAACGTTAAAATAGTATACTTCCCTTTGTCTCTCCTGGCTTTCAGCCTATTTTTATCATACATGGAACTTCCATGTGCATTGCATTTCCAATATCTATATATATATATTATTGTTATTTGTTTAAATAATCACTTATCATTTTAAGAGATTTAAATAATTTAATAAGTACATTGTTTATAACAAGGTAGTTACCATTTCCAGGATTCTTCATTTCTTTGTCTTCCCAGATTTTCATCTAGTATCAATTTCCTCTGCTTGGAGATGTCTTGTAGTGAAGGTCTACAATAATTATCTCAGTGTTTGCATCTCTGAAAAAGTCCTCACTTATACTTTATATTTGAAAGACTTTTTTTTTTCAGAGTTTAGAATATACGGTGATTTCTTTACCCTTCCAACACTTTTAAGATATTCCCTTGTTGCCTTGTGGTTTTCGTTGTTTCAAACAAGAAGGATGCCACCATTGCTGTTTGTACCTAAGTTTGTGATGTGATCCATCCATTTTACATATTCTATTTTTATTCTGACTCCCAACAATTTACTTTTAATGTGTGTTATTTTGATTTCTCTGGGCATTTGTGCTTACAGTTCATTTCATATTTTGTATCTATAGGTTTATTATTTTTATCAATTTTTAAAATAGATTAATTACTTAGTAATTTTTCTGAAGCCTGCTCTGACTACTTGACTTAGATCATTAGTTATACATATAATATATTACACCAATGCTCACTGAGGATTTGTTCATTGTTTTCAAGCTTCTTTTTTTTTCTTTCTGTTTTGAGTGGAAAATTATATATATGTACCTTACTGCTCCATCTTAGCTGGAAGTATAAGTCATTATGTGTAATTTTTTTCCATATTGCATAATGAAATGTTTCATCACTTAGAAATCTTCATGGCTCTTCAAAACCAATATTTCCCCAATAACAAAAGCATGATTTTACCGAATTATCATAATATCCCTATTAAATTTTGAAATATAACACTTAATTTTTAGTTAGCAAAGCATGATTGATATGGCTTCAGAGTCTATATTTCAAGAAATATTCAAAACATTTAAAATTGCCCATTGAAAGAATGTTGAAATACTCTTCTCTTTTCCAACTAAGAACAATGTGAGGAGATTTTTTTGTTGAATACATCCATTAAAACAGTGTATTGCAATAGATTGAATATAGAAGCAACTATGGTAATCTCATGTTTTATTAAACAAGATATTAAGTTAGTAAGCAAAAGTACAAAATAATGTCACTCATTTTGTTACCTTTTGTTTGTTTGGGGAAAAAACAGTTAATCTTTCCTATAAATATGCCATTTAGTTTAACATATAGGAATGTTACTGTTGTTTTAAATAAACTAATAAATATGAGTTTTAAGGTTTCTTACTTTCAGTCTTTTAATATGGTGACTATCAATAGCTATAACTTACATAAAAAAAAATCTTTTGAAGTCTTCAATAGTTTTTACAAGTGTAAAGAGGCCTGAGATATTAAAACTTGAGAATCATTACATTAGAAAAATGAGAGCCCTTTATAAGTCCCTTTCTATAAGGCCACTGGAAGGGAGGCAGGCAGCTTGTCTTTGGGTGTTCTATTCCTCCTGAGAAACTTTTAGAGCAAAATACCTGTAAATGAATTACACTAGAGCAAGGAATTACAACACATAGATATTTATTTAATGACCTTTAATTAATTTCCAATATAACTAAGAAAGACAAAATTTAGTAATCCTACACATAAAAAATAGGTTTAGCGAAGGTACATTATCTGTTACCTTTGTTTCATGGTATATTAAAAGTCAGAACATAATTACTACCTAAAATATGATTATAACAATATTTTTTAATGTCCTAGTTTTCTAAGAATGATAGGAAAAAAATGAAAACCCCTACAGTGTATTCAGACTTACTTTTACTTTGTCTTTCTTTCTTATGATGATACTAGAGTATCGTACACAGCAGTAACTTCAGAACCCTTCTTCCATTAATTCAGGAGGTATTTATTCAGTATAGTTTATGATAGTAAGAATGGCAAGACAGAATGCTTATATTCAAGAAATTTAAAATCTCATAAACTTTGAATAAAATGAGAAAAAGTAGTTTAAAATAATATAATAAGTGGAACTATTGGATAGAAAATCAGAAAGTTTCAAAATTTAGATGAGTTGTAAAAATATGCTAAGAATAAATCCTCATTTGAGCATAGTCTTTAGGAAGCAGTGTTGTAACAAGAAATTCTTTCTCTTCCCAACTTCAAAGAGTTATAGGCAATAAAAGCATTAAAAATTGTCCTATTGGGAGTTGACCTCCTTAAATTTTTAAGAAAGTTAAATTCTAGGGAACATTCTCATCTTTTAACTTGCATACCATTCTCTGCTTCCAAAAATATTCCCTAAAATGATCTATTACATGTCAACAATGATATTTAATCCAAATCTGAAATATTTAAGGAAAAGAATAAAAATATTTAGAAAGCAAAATATTCTTTTTGCTTCAGATCACAGCCCAGTTCAGAGTATTTATTCCAACAGCTAATCAGGAAGGAGAAAGCAGGTGTACCTGTCAGCTAAGCCCAGAGAAGGAGCTCTGCATTTTACTGTTGTCACTTTCTCTGAGTTTAAAATAGAAAGTGTGCCATTGTACTCTGAGGGCTATATTTAGCTCACTCAAATGATTTATTTCTTTCCTCCTTAGGAGATAGCATACATCAAGTAATTCCCATAGAAACTTTAAAGAAATAAGAAAGTGTTTCCTTAATTTTATTTATCATCTCTTCACCTTGAAAATTAAGAATCTGTTCCATCTCAGCTTCTAGGCTAATTGGTTTGTGAGTGACATTCACCTTTTGTTTATAAGATGTTATCTGCTTATTTTAATGCCATAAACAACAGGATTTTTTAATTACCAGCCATTTTTTTGATATTGTAAATATAGTATTCATTTCATTTGCATTGGATATATTTGTGATTTTAATGATAATGTAGTTAGGATGTTAAAGATTTCAATCTCCAATTATATGATATCATTTAGGAAACTATGATTTTAAAATATCCTTTAATGTTGATGTTAGTTTTGTTGGTCTCAGTGCTCTGTACTTTATACTCACAGCTAGTTGCTTGTTGCTTAATTGCTTTATTCTGTATGATAATCTATATATGCAAATTTATCAAACACAATCCATATATTTTTTATTATTCTAACATAATATGATTACTTTTTCTTGTTTCTATTTTTTAAAAAGTTATAAAACTGTACATGGGTCCTAAAAATCACCTAAACTATGCTTGAAATTTATTTTACATAAGAAAAGTTTTTTTACTTCATAGAAAAAGTGACTCAGGCCAGCAATTGGCTCATGTCTATAATCTTAATGCTCTGGGAGGAGGCTTAGTGGGAAATAATGTTTCAGGCCATGAGTTTGAGACTAGCCTGGGCACCACAGCAAGACCTCATCTCTGAATCAAAAAATGTATTCCAGAGTGGCATTGCACACACTGTAAAGTGATAAGGTCGTATTCAAAGCCTTTGGCAAAGTCTGGGAACTTTCTGACGGAACTCCATCACAACTTCCACTGAAGTTGCACTGGACTCACAATGTAAGACTTTCTGGGAGATCTCATGTGCAGTTTACATTTCTTTAGCCAACCACTTGATGACTAGAAGTTGGCCATCCTGAATTCCTGTACTAGTTTTTTAGCGACTTCTTGATCATTGGCCTGGAGACTCAGGCATTACCTGTCCTCATTGGTTTGAATGAGCTCAATGCAGCTTCATTGACTTCATCAGGGAAGTGTTCCTCCTCCTCCAGTTTCCTCACAGTATCTCTCCAAGTACAATGTTTACTTTTTGAATGTTGCTAACTATGGTCTTGTTAACACTAAAATGTTCTACCATCTTTCTTTGGCTGCTGCTTGCTAGAAAATATATATCAACTTTTCCTCCAGTGTGAGCTCTTTAAGTTCTTCTTTTGGGCCACAATGTCTTACAGAATGTGCCTAAAATTCAGACCAGTCCTTAATGTTGGAAAAAATCTTCACAACATGTGATAAACAATAGGATGTTAGGCCTAATCCACCTCATGGTAGTTATAAAACATGAAGAAAAAACTTATACTAAAGAAAAAATAAGACATCTGAGGGGCCAAGCCCACACCTTGTACCCCTGAGTATAGAGTGAACTCAACTGATGAGTTGATAATCTGGTGGTCAACATAAAAAACCAGACTGACTGTCCTGATACATGTGTGTTGTGCATGTCCACTCTATGAAAATTAGGTCAACTTCAGGAGGTGTTCAGTACAGGAAGGAGGTCTGCTATGGAGGTTCTACTGACTTTGGCAAGGTCAATACTAAAATCTGATTTCTGTGCAAATTTTTACTACTTAGAATTGCTCAGTTCATACATGTCTAAAGGTATGCTTTCACTATATTTAACTATAATAGAAAATAAAGGTATGGTGCTTACATTGGCAGCACACATACTAAAACTGGAACAAAACAGAAAAGATTAGCATGGCACTGGTGCAAGGATGACATGCAAATTCATAAAACGTTCCATATTTTTACAAAGCTTCTGAATGTGCCCAAGCATCCCAAGTGGAACAGAAACAGAAAAATGAATCATTCTCTCAGAGAGCTCTGGGATAATTCGAAGAAAACTAATATTCACCTTATAAGAATCCCTGAAGGCGATGAAGTTGCTTCACAAAACACAGAGGCTCTTCTTCATGAAATTATGAAAGAAAACTTTCCAGATACACCAAGAGATCCTGAAATTCAGATAGCAGACAGCTTCAGATCCCCAGAATGACTCAACCTGAACAAGACATCCTCCAAATACATCATAATTAACTTCACTAAAGTTAATATGAAAGAGAAAATCCTAAAAGCAGCTGGACATAAGAAAACCATAACCTACAAGGGGAAGAATATTAGAATGACTGCAGATCTCCCTGCTGAAAATTTTCAGGTTAGAAGAGGATGGTCATTTACTTTTAATCTCCTAAAACAAAATAACTTTCAACCCAGGATCCTGTATCCAGCTAAACTGAGTTTCCTTTATGATGGAGAAATTAAATACTTTAACGACATTCACATGTTGAAGAAATTTGCCAAAATTAAACCAGCTCTCCAGGAAATTCTCAGACCTATCCTCCATAATGACCAGTGTAATCCTCCACCACAAAAGTAAACTCACTTAAAAACTTTTGATCAAATTTCAACTTCTACAGTGACGAAAGGATTAAAAATATCTTCTGGACTTTTGAGCAACTCAATGCCCCAAATTTTACCACGTTTATCAATAATTTCAATCAACCTGAATGGCTTAAATTGTCCTCTAAAGAGCCACAGATTGGCTGATTGGGTACAGAAACTCAGACCAGACATCTGTTGTATACAAGAATCTCATTTTACCTTAAAAGACAAATATAGACTCAGAGTGAAGGGATGGTCATCTATATTCCAGGCAAATGAAAAGCAGAAAAAAGCAGGTGTTGCAATTTTATTCGCAGATACAATAGGTTTGAAACCAACAAAAGTAAGCAAAGATAAGGATGACAACTTCATATTTGTTAAGGGCAATACTCAATATGATGAGATTTCAATTGTCAATATCTATGCACTCAACCAGAATACACCTCAATTTATAAAACAGACTCTAACTGCCATGAGCGACTTGATCTCTCCCAGCTCCATCATAGTCAGAGACTTTAACACTCCTTTTGCAGTCTTGGATAGATGCTCCAATGAGAAGCTTAGCAAAGAAATCTTAGATTTAAATTTAACTATTCAAGTTTTGGATTTAACAGACATCTACAGAACA